ATTTCTGTGTGAGCTCCCCCCTGCTTGATGAAACTTCCGTCTGAGATCCAAGCACCGCTAGCGCTTAGGGCGACGCATTCAACGACTCAGCTGTCCTTTGCTAGTTCAATCGAGTCATTTTTCACTGATTACCTTTGCTGTATTTTTTCTCGAGATTGGACAGGCATTGATTGATCACTTCTTATGATTCTCTATCGTCTGTCTCGTTCATATATATCTCGGCGCTTTCCGGTGATGCCGAAGCTGTTGTTGTTGTTGATCGATCCTAGTCGCCGTCGGGATGAAACCGACGGAGATATATCGACGTCTGACGGCAGACTTGAGTCTGTGAGCTCGCGGGCTAGAATTGTTGAGTAAGGTAGAGGCGGGAAACGTTTCCTCTTCACTGCTCGCGGGAATAAGTTGAGTAACTTTGCTCTCACACCTAAACTCGGGTTACTCGTGTCACACCCGTCGTCCTAAGCCTGCTCGTAGCCTCTTGGGGCGTCGTGTCGGCGTCGCTCCGACAACCTGCCTGCTCGCTTTTCCAGCGCCTTGGTCTTCCAGCGTCCTTGACTGTGGAACAAAGACGTGGAAGCCTTGTGAAAATAACGTAATACTGGTGCTGTTCTCTCTGACGATGATTAGCTTTGAGCGAATCGCTGGAGCGCGGTCCAGCGGTCGATAAACGGGTGATGAATCGATTGACTGCTCACCGGTCACGCCCGTTCGACTCGTGTTTGGATCAGCGAAGTTTTCGGAAATCGTTGAGCCTTATGTCCAGAACCGTATCAAAGCTCCGCAAGGTAACAATGGCTCGTGATCGCTCCTCATCGGATTGTTCCTACGGCGCTACTCGCTTTGATTGAAGGGAAAAGCGCCACAGTCATCGGCTCACGATCACCGATATCGAAACAAAGTTCACAAACCCGGATCACCAAAAAAAATTGGTCTGCCGTCGCTGTAGTGACTTTGTGACCAGTGACGCGGAGGTTCATGATCTGGAAGCTTCCAACACGGAGTATTCCGAGTTCCATGTCATTGTGTACTAAACGATTGGGTGAGCGGATCCCGCCGACTAAGTCGGGACAGTGATCACCCGGAACGACTTATTGTGGAGGAACAGATGACAGCGAATACTCTTTCTATGTAGGTAGGCAGCCCGACTCGGAAGCGTCGGCGAGGCCCAAGGCAACGATTACTAAGCGCAGCTTCTTTCTCAATTTCAGTCGACATGTCGTGAACGCAAAGGTCTCTCCAGGTATCCAAAAAGGTTTGTATCTGCCAAAATATACGAAAAATCGCGATATTTGCGGCCTCGCGCGGAGAAGTGACGGGATTCTCTCTGCAGTCAAATGAGCGCGCGCGGGTCCGGTCAGGACGTCGTTATTCGAAGAGCTCATAATGGCGAGCACAAGCAGATCCCGATAGGTACACGTGGAGCTGACCTTGATCGATTGCGTCGCGCTTCCTCATTTTCGAACTCCGGCTGCGTACACCTTTTCCGACAGTCGAGACAGAGCTTCCGAGTTTCGGATTTGTGCACATGAATGAATTGTTGGCTTCGGATTGTGGCTTGCATCGTCTCAATCTTCAAGGGCGTCGTTTTCTTCATCGTCCTCCATCTCCAGATCCGTACCGAGTTCAGGGAATCTTCTCTCCAGGAGAAACTCACCCCAAGTCAGACAATGACTGTTTTGCTCTTGGTGAATGTAGATTGGCTCCAGCACTCACGATACGATCTCGATCTGGATATCTCCGTCGGATCTGATGGTCATCGAAGCCATTCTGAGCATCTACGCGGTGATTGGACCGCTTACTTGCTTCTATCACCTCACTCCTGCCCGCGCGATTCAAGCCACTCGTCAATTCTTTGGTGGCCTGTCACGCTCCCTGGCTTGCCTGTCATTGCTACCGAGAAGTCGTCAGACCATTGAAGTGTACCTTTTGTTCGGAATGACAGTCTCGTCGGAATCCGCCGGCACGAGAATTTCCGTGGATGTGATTCCCGTAGCCAGTCAGTCTCAGGAACGTCGTTCCATGAGAGCAGTATATTCTGATCGCTCGCAATCCCTTATTGCTGGAAATCAACCGCATGGGCCTAGGACACGATCTCCGATCAAGAACCGCTGCCTGGCTTCGAAGGGTCCTCTGACGTGATTTCGAATAGTCAAGAGAAGCCGAAACCGGGAGCGTGGGATGCGAGCTTCTGGTCATCTGAGCTATCCTCGAGATGAAGGGAATCGTTCGACCCTCTGCAATGATGCTTAACTTCAATGGAGCTCCCAGGAAGGGAGTCGAGAGCACTCGCCAAAAGACTCGGAGCAAACTGGAGAGATGCGGGCGCCCGGAAGTCCTGGCTGCCAGCCTCTCGCTCGCGGACAGACGGGCCGTCGAGCGCGCGAATTCTCGCGGTCTGAACGTTCCCCATTTTCGCGAGAGAAGATAATGACAGTTTTCCCCCTCCTTCCTCCTCTGCCATCCGCATGTTCCCCGCAGACATACTGCGACGTCGGGAAATCCGATCTTCACGTGCAAGCTCAGAAAGCTATCAGATTCATCTCGATCAGATATTTCCATCATGGTTCAAAAGAGATGGCTTAGAATTCTTCACACCTCCAAATCACAGTCACATGGAAACCCGGGTTCAACTCTTGTGGGGACCAGGAGTTCCCCCTGTCCACATGTGCACTAATGTCCGCTTGGATTCGCTACCGAGCTCTGATTTTGTCTGAGAATCTGGGTATGCCACAGCGGGGGATACCACTTGTGAGAATCGGTTTTCATCTGATAGCTTATTCCTCGTCTGGACGATGTTCGAAGAAAATGGAGCATCAATGCCGGCGTCTACGTTGACAGCTGTCTTTCAGTGCTTTTTTTTGGTGAGACGGACAGGCTATTCCAGTGTGAGCTAATTCACTTAATCGCTGTTTGATGCATTCGTTTCTGGCTATTTCCACCAGAGTAATTAGGAACCTACCGGAATTCGCAACGCCGGGCTGGCGGATGGCTAGAAAAAGAGGGACATTCGTCGTGTCCATGCCATCAAAAGTACATCGAGCAATGGGGTACTCTTCCGAAATCAAATGCTGGATGACACCATTGAGTGATTCATGTTTCATCATGAGCGAAATTCGAACTCATTTTTGTTCCAGCAGGAAGATCGCGCAGAGCCTCGTCGACCGGCTACTCATGAAGAGGATCCCCTTGAAGTTCGTGGGACCTGCCGGTTACGTAATTTGCTTGGGGATCGAAAATCGGGAAAACTTCTGAATTGCTCAAAACCTATCTCGATTTTACGACATGTATCGGTTTAATGGTCGCGATTCCTGCTCCTGGCGCACTCTTCTTTCCTCACTATCGTTCGCCTTGAGCTGCTTAGGTTAGCGCGCTTGACACGGCGAGGTCGTTGACCATGCTGTCGTTTACGCTTGCCAGCTGTTCGGTGAACGATCTTCTCCTCAAATTATTTAAGCCTAGCCGCGCTCCTTTTTCCACAATATTGACTTCCATTCCGAAGTCGGTGGCTATGCCCCGCTCGATGACCTGGGGGCACCCTCCTACACTCCTTCTTTTCCCATGTGACAGCATCTCTCTGCTGCTCAGGAGATTTTCCTCCTGCCTCCGGGGAGGAAGTCGATTTTCGACGTCGTTGCCCTGACGTGGCACCAGCTTACAGTCGGAACGAATTCTGTCTGTGCAGAAATTGAGTTCTGCGCGAGTGCTACGAGGGTTGATTCCCTGTCCCGGAGGGATTGGGCAAGGATTTTGAGCTCTATCAGTCACGCGCGCGTGTATTCCACCGCAAGCCGTTAGCACTGAGGGCAGGCGCGTCCGCAGAGGGTGGGGGGCTAGGGAGCTATAGCCCCCTCCCAGATGTTGAGTTCGTAATACTAAGGTATAGCAGCGGGTCGCCATGCTGGAAAGCAGCCCCATGCGAGGACCTGATCTAGCCCCCCCCCCCTCCCTGTGGACTCCACTGACTGAGGGCGGTGCTCAGCCAGCTTCCTCTCGCTGTTTTCCCGGGATATCGATTCTCAACTCCCTGAGGTATCAAGTGTGGAGGTCACGGCATAGCTCAAGAGCGCCCGCAGGAAGGGCGGGTGGGATGTCAGCCCAAGCTTTAGTCTTCCAGGGCTCGGGTTTTTACCCCCTGCCCTCGGAGGATTTCTGTATCCGTCTCTGGTTGAGGGCGTCGAGTTCTTTGAGAGATCGATGTGCTTAACCCATTCAATCTTCTTTGATTCGATTCTTTGTTCGAATGCGTTCGCGGGTAATATGACTGTTCTCAACGAGTAGACGGTTACCTCGAAGGTTGCTTTACTGGGCCGCGAGTTGGCCGCTGTTGTATACTTTCTAGAGAGATCTCTGCGAGCCGAATGATCCAAGGTCTTAGAAAACTACAGTATGACATAGTGCTCACGGAGTGCGAGGCGCGCCAAACGCTCGGCCATCCCGGCTGACGGCGGGAAATGAATTGAGGATGAGAGTTAGACAAAGATACGCTAAAGTTGCCTCTCAAAAACCTACCGTCTTTGGCGTCTTCTTCTCGCAGCAGAATTCCCGATCACCCCAGCCCTGCTCATTGAGGTGTTTCGATGGCGGTCTGCGGTTGACGAAAAATTATTCTCTCACACAATTAGGTACTATCAACAATTCTTGCATGCTGAAAATCATGCGAATATTCGCAGCATTGGCCGACGCCATTGTTCCGAGAAATCCTGGAATTAGACTCAAGCGAGCCATATGATGCATGGAGTGTCGCACCACGAGGCGTCGACGGTATCATTCCTCTCAGAAACCCCGAGACATCGAGCTTAATGCCATAACGAGTGACTGCTGGGTTTCCTTATCCTTGGGTTGAGGAATTTGGACCATGATTTCTCAACTCGCATCGGTACTCGATATAACCCCAGACTACAATAGTCCCCTCTAACTTTCTTTTCGTCTCTTCCGCAGGCGAGCAGAGCGAGGCTCTATCCTGGGCGACCAATTTTTTGTCCGTTTGTGATTGTGCTGTATACTCGTCAAAGTGCTCGATATGCGTCGTGAAATGGCATCGAAGAGTATGTCTTTGCCCAGAGGAGCCTCACTCCACTCTGCCTTGGGTGCAACGCCTCCTTCGACGTCGGCGACGTCGTCGTCTGGAGAGAATCTCGATCAAGACGATTATGTATCTGGAGGTGCCAAAGGTGAGTTCCTTTCGCTTGCGCATTCCCCAGCTAGGGGGAAAGATTTCCTGGGCTCCTGCCCTCCCAAAGGTTCCAGGCATCGATTCCAAAACTTGGTCTAGGTCCAGAGCTCACAGAGAATGAGACCCGGGGACGCTCACATATTCATACGGGGCGGGTAGTGAACGAAGCCTCCATAATGAAGGCTAAACGTCCGCGAGCAGGACTAACAATACAATGGAGACGTTTGATACAATGGACCCAACTGCTCAGTATGAGACAGGCCCGATGTAATCTGGATTCTCCAGAGCCGAACTGAGTCGTTAATCTTATTGTTCAGTTCCGATGAACCTGGGTGCGATATATTGAGTTTGATCAGTGAATCCATGGTTGAACGGACGACATTTGTTCCCGAAAGCGGCCGTGGCCACGGATAGCACCGTATATGCGGAGATACTATATACAAAGACGAAATAGACCTGCCGGCATGTGGTTGCGTCGCTGAACGTCCATTGATGCTCAATTCGGTGCTGAACGAAAGGGTGAGCCAGTCGAATGCTGCGGTTGACCCTCCATCATCAGCGAGGCACAAAAGAATTTCTGGTTGTCGATCTGATATCTCCGCGGACGTTTCAAGGCTACAAGGCGGAAGTAGAACGGTCACCCCGTGGGCCAGCTTCCCTATCCGCTCTCTCCCACGCTTAAAAAAAGGGAACTTTTTTTAAGCCCTTGAGCGTCTAATTGCTCCGCAAGGCATGGTGGAGGATGGATGATCACGTAGGATCAACAGACCCCGCCTGGATATAGTGTCGCAGGAGAGCTGCTCGACTAGAACATATATGACAAAGACGGGATGTCGATTTCGGTGAAGAATGATGTCGGCTTCAACTGTTCGATTAATCCTCCCCCCGAAAACCGATGTTTCACATAGGACATAAAAAATTCGGACAATGACTAGGGTGGCGGGAAGGATGGCTCGATATGGAAAGGTCTGCTTGTTTTAGAGCTCCGCTCATTCAGCAATGGAATCGAGTGGCGAATTATGCGGATAAAACTAGTTTTTTTTCTGCATGGATGAAGTGTCCGGTGCGAGAATTCCGCCTGTGTGCGCAACAGCCGGTCCAAGTTTCATCAGATCCTCGAACTTCGCTTTAAGCGTATGAACTTTAAACGAGAAAGCTCACCCGCATGAATTGGATAATTTCATCCGATGGAGATGGCGGTGGTTGAGACAATGATCAAGACGCGACGTCTCGAAGTCTCCGTACTTGTTCGAGAGGCGATCTCGTTCTCTTGAACGTCTGTCCTTGAATCATCGAGCAAGAGCAATGGTTCAATTTCGCTAAGCTTCCTATGCTCGTGCTTCACTCTAGCTATCGTAGTGATGAGGAAACCCGCAGTTCATGACCGCGACATTCAACACGACGTGACACGGATCGTTCAATATCATACCCTAGCATCGCGATATTTTTCTCCGAGAGCCTCAATATCAGGTATCGAAGCGACGATTCGCAGCAATTGCGAATGTGGAACGGAGCTTTGGAACCATTTGGACAAATTGTGCCATCAAAGCTCGCCGCAACGTTAGCGTACGAGGCTCATCGTGAATATGGGCTTTGATCGACTCGCGCCCCCAGTAACATCGATGGCTTGATCGACCGATGGATGCTGGCATTGCTCGATTTCAAGTGATGAGGTGGTGATTGATTTATTTATTTCCGAAGCTTACACGAGGAAGAGCCTCGCTGTGGAGGGGTCGTTGGCGATCGATCAGGAGCTCATCGGTGAGAAATCCATTTGCAACATTTTAGAGTGGGTGAACGCAGCGAGAAACGAGCGCACGACTCCAACCTGAACTTTCGCTAACTGAATTCCAACCTCTTGCGCGGGCTTGCTCTAAGAACCCCGTCCGCCACCGAGCATATTGTTCGCCGATGGGAAATTCCTCTCGGATTCCCTGAGATTATCCAGTGTCGTACCGGGAGATTTTCCGTTGCAGAACAATCGAGCGTATTTTTTAGATAGAGGCGAACTGTATCAGTCCGCAGGCGACATATGAGCCACTGTTGTCGTGGTCGTCAGCGTCGGTGCGCCGTTTGGCGGGAAAGACTACGTTGGTAAGCGCGCGATGCCGCGGTCGTCGGCGAGAGGGTTTCACCACAGAACACTTGCAGTCAGTTGGACTACGGCCTCCTGACAGACGGAATTCGTGGCTGGCTTTCCCTCCGTTGGTGCGTCCGTCCGTTTGTTCGTCAATTCGTCAATCCGTGGATAAGTGATTGTTCTGTGCGTCGTTCTTCGGATTTCTCAGCAGATTTTCTTGCACAACTAGGAATACTCTCTACGATTTGCATCGATCTGGAGCCGGTGAGAGACTGAGGGGACCTGTTCGCATAAACGAAGTGTTTAGAGGGGAGCCGTTCTTTATGCGTCGCAGACACTCCATATCCGCGTTTGGTTACCGCCGAAAACTGAGTCCCGCGATCGAATGTTTTCTCCCTCCTGCTGAAAAGGGTTGGAATCAGCCATTGGCGGGATCAACTAGGATTCATCATCATCTGACTCCGCGATGGTGCTCGAACTCTGAGAGCCATGCCTAGGGTGGTCATTGGAATTCCTTCTTCCCAAGAACGACCCGACCACGAACATCGTTAGCCGCTTTGACAAGGAGAACGAGCATCGCTGCTGTTTATCCTGCTGTAGATGTTTTCGTTTCCGACGATGCTGTCTCTGTTGCTTCACAGACTCACCTGCCGAAGTCGTGACTCCCGATTCTTCGGCGTTGTTGCTGTCGTCGTTTTCTTTGTACTGGTACGCAGCTCGACGATGGCCCGACTGGTCCATTTGTCTCGGGTGCCCAATGATATCATCTCGGTCGGAGTGGAGCAAAAATTCCATTGAGTTCCTTCGGTACTGAGGCTTAGCATGGAATCCGTCAAACTGTGCTTAGGCTCGTCGACGCGCTCCCTCACGAAACCAACCGGGTCTACCACATCGGTACTTTCGACGCGAGTTTTCTGTTTTCCCTGTATCGTCAACAAGACGACCCGAGACTCGAACTCACAAATCACCTCAATTGAGAATCACCCGCTTCGGAATGAAGTACCATCGAGCTTAGACTCATGTACTGAAATCGTTGAAGACTCATTGTACGGATGTGCTTCTGTTCTCCCAACGGTTTTCGCTTCTCGATCGGCAGCGTTCCGCGTCTGGCGTTTGCCGCTGCAGCTGTGAAATCGTTTCCAGCGGCATCGATTTCTGGCGCACAATATCTACGCGAACCTATTCTTCGCTCGATTCCTCCATTCGTTGGACTCATTCGTTCGCAGCCTGCTTGGCAAGGACAGCCAAGTATGTATCAGCCAAGAGCGGGCAGCCGCCGCTATGATATTCTACTCTTCCATAGTTTGGATTTTAGCGCGGCGTTGGAATGCCTCTTCATCTTTTTTCTGTTCGCGTGCAAGAAAGAAGTGCGCGTTCCACATTCAATTAATGTTGAAGCGCAGCTGAAGACTATGGTCCGAAGTGGAGCTCTGCATGTCCTTCGAGAAGCCTTGACCCTAAGTAGTTCGGTCAGTGATTCGTTCAGACGTGCTCCAGAACGGTACAACTTTGTGACATCTTTCATAATGCAAAAGTTCTTCAAGCGAAACTTGATCACGCACGCTTGTGCTCAGCTGGGAGCTGCTCCCATTTTGTCTTCTATCGTGATTCGGCGTTTTGATCCGCTATTCTGCTTTGCATGCCAGGTTAGCAAGTTTCCTTGCAGACGGCGCGGCGTGGACTTGAATATCCCTGTCGACGCTCACCAACCGCTCAAGCAAGTGTTTCTTGTCGTTACTTCCACGATATCGTCATACGTGGGGAGGCGTGAGCCTTTTTTTCTCGTTTCTCAATGTTCGGTTTAGCCGGACGAAACAAGTGTGAAAACGTCCGGCGAGACCGCAGGATATCGATGCTGTCGGAAGTCACCACGGGAGGAGCGGGAGCCGGAACGGGTTTTACGCGTGTGGGAAAGAGTTTCAATGCCTGAGAAGCTTCGGCCGTCCTCTGACCTCTCGACTCATTGAGGAACGCTTCAAAAATCAGGCCTTGCCCATGCTCTTCAGGGCTTTGTTGTTCCAAGCTCTGGTTCACAATCTCTATCGTGCAACGGAGCAAAAATAACGATTCCTCCACGCGGGCTACGGATTGATCTCGAGAGGCTTTTCGGGTTGAAGAAGCCAGATATCAAGCGAGAGAGCGAGGGGATTTCCGACATCTATCGCAGCTTTGAGCGTGGCATGAGCGAAGCTCCTGGAGGTAAGGTACTCCATGATATTGATTCTGCTAACGACCTCCTCACCATTCGAATGGGCGCTCGAATCAGTCACGCTTAATCGTCTGATTCCCCGGAAAAATGGTGTTCCCAGCAACTCTGGGTGACGACGCCGATAAAGTGGGCGGAACCGCAAATCGATGGCTGTAAATCACACTGCAGTTTATCGCGTGGATATTTGCTCTTACGATCATCGTCACCATCGAGCATCTGTTGCCTGACAAGAGCTTCAAGATGCCATGATGATGTTGGTCGACGCGTCGTTGGACTCATGTGTCAACACTCGTTCGGATCCATGCTCGATAACCTCTCGGTAGCGCTTGTGAAATATTTGCAAAACGTGCGTCCGCTTCCCGGTGTAGTGGCTGACGAAAATATACCCGAATGAACTTATAATAATCCCGTCGTTATCCGACCGCGACCGCGTAGATGAATATCTGCGAGTTCGATGGATCGCGCGATCCTCCGATCTCGCGTCGTTTATCCGCGGAAATTCTTATTTTCTGCGCGTTCAGCGCATCTTTCTGCGAAACTGTAAATTTTGCCATATGAAGTTTGATGCTACTCATAATGATGGCCGCTGGATTCGCCCGCCGCCTAAACAGTTGAAATTTCAAAGATAAGCGGGAGTCGGCTCTGGTCTCACAAACGGGACGCAACGAACTTGAAGGTCGACAGAGGAGGTTGTTGCCGCGGCCAAGAC